TTGAGGTCCATCTTAAATGGCCAACAACCAGTATTCAGCATGAGAATTCCAATACTTTTCCACAACTAAAAGCTTGTGTATTTTTACTTAATACCATATAAAATTAAGAACAGACTATTAAAAAAAAAAGTCATGTATTAGCTGACAGGTTCTTATTTCCAAAAACCAGAATACTGAAGAGCAAGCGGCAGTATTTCCCTCCATACTCTATTTTTTAGTGTTTTTTTTTTTAGATTAGTTTGATCATTAATATGCCTTTCATGTAAACACGCTATACATTTCAGACAGAGTAAAATACGTGTGTACTTTATGGCTTCCAGTGAGTGGTGCTTGCCATAAATAAGCACGGACAGGTAAGAGGAACCAGCACCAGGCACTGTATTGTCAAGGGGAGCAGCGAGGCCTTTTGAAGTGCTTTGAGCAGGAAGCAGCGCAGCCTTTTTAATTAGAGCACATACAGCTGGAGGATATATAGGAGGAGTCTCCTCAGAATTTATTTTGGGAAGGGAGGGACATATCCTTCAGGTGTTCTCATTAATGCAGGCTTAAACACAGAGCATAAACCCCAGCATTTTAAGAAGACAAAAAAATAACCCTTTCCCCTCAAATACCGAGGCTGAAATCCTGCTCTGCTTGAAATCAACTGATGTTTTGCCATTTAACTCAATGAGACCGTAATTTCTTTCCAAAAAATTAGTATGGACTGCTTGATCCCATTCCCATCAATAGTAAGGCTGTACATAGAAAACTACTGATATATTTTCAGCGTGTTTACATATAAATACATAGGAACATCACAGAAAGAAAAACTATTTTCAAGCTCAGTCCTGCTTTTCTTCTGCATGTAAGGCCACCCCTGATTTTGCAAATTATTTCCATTCTGAGGTCAAAATCGGCTCTCATGTAAGGATCAGACTGGAATTATTTCTGTGCTTTTTGTTTTATGAGAAGCAAATTTGAGTCTCTGGAGGCAGGAATAACTGGGCACTGATGAAACAGATTTTAAAATCTCGATAAATGATAAACTGGCCAATTCGGAATAGATGTGAGGTTTTGTTATGCGGGAGAAGCAGCTAAAGTACCACTGAAAGAGACAACTGTAAACAGTTCTTTTGAACATTGTAACTGAAAGTGAGTGTTGTTTCCTTTTACCGTTTATCTGGTAGGTCATAATTAGTTTATAATTTTCAAGATCTCTGTAATTGATTATGCTGTTTAAGTGTGCACTGCGGTATGCTAAAAAAAGTTCTTGTCAACATTTTTGCATTTGTAATGAGAGATCTTGAAACACCTATTTTTTAGATCATTATTACTTTTAGATGTCAGATATGTGATGTCAAAAGTATTTGTGAAGACTAGAAAATGACATGTGTTTAACTGCTAGCTATTGATAAAAATCACAGTGTAGGAACTGGAAACGATTGTTATTAATGAGCCTTGGTTTTGTTTAATTTGGGAAGTAAGCCACACTATTTAGTTAAACCAACTAAGAAAATACCTGGATTTAGTTATAATATGCTACCCTCAAATTTTTGAACTGTTAACACTGTTTCCGTTAGTGGTACTCTCCGTATTGTTAAAAATATTCCTCCTGGGAGCTAGATGCTTTCTGATCAAAATAAATAAATCATTTGACCCTATTACAGATTTAATCAACCTAACTAGTCTCAAAATCTTAATGTAAAGTAAGAAGCGTATATGTGTGCTTCATGCTGATCCGTGAATAACAGAAATTGTTTTTGTAATTGCTGTGAAAGTAATCATGCTTATATTTATATTTGATAAATGAATATTAAAAAAAAAAGAAAAAGAAAAAAAAAGAAAAAACTTCATTCTTTTGCAAGCTGAATATTATTTTTCTGGATGAGTATAGTAAGATTAACAGGTAGATTCAGCATAACAAATTACAATTTCTTACCTACCTGTCTGTAAGATTTTTTTTATTTTTTTTTTGGATCAAGATTGGAGAAAGTCTTTAGGTTATCGATGAGTCTTATTTATGTATCAACTGATGGTAAACTGACTTTAAAAATTGCTTACTTCTGCTGTGTTATATCCCACCGAAATGTTTGTTGGGGTTTTGTGCATGCTGTACCTTAGCTTTGAAAGTGTGAAGGTGGTGTCTGTTTCTAGAAACAGGTAACACTGGCAAGCAGGTTTAGACTCTACATAAGCAATGAAAGTTAAAAAATCAAAGGTACATTCTTAATGCAGGTTTTTCTGACGGCACCTTTCTTAGTCTGTTACCTGTTGAAATCTCATTTCAGATTTGTTAAAAATCTTGACAACCATCAGCTTCAGAGAATGTACAGAGTATTTCAAATGTGATTTTAAAAACATAATGCTACTGTTGTGAAATAAATTCTTATCTTTGAAATCTAAAATAAGCATGTATAATTTAACCTATCACTACCAAAAGCAGATTGTGGTGACTATCTCTCCATATCACTGAAGAAAAGGCTTTTATTTAGATTTTTAAGGACTGTTTCACTATTGCTTTTTATTTGGTTAGATAGCTTTGTGGAACAGTAACAAAATTCTACAAAACCATTGGGTTTTGGAAAAAAGCACGGGTTGTGTCTGTGGCATGCATGCTGCGTAATTTTATGTGGAACAGTGAAAGAATGCTTTATTAACAAAAACCCCCAGCTCTACAGTTATGTATTTCAGCCTTCTGAAAGATTTTGTGAAAATTCAGTGCTTTAAATATATGCTGTGTATATTTGTATGTGAAACAAATAGCTGTGATGTGCAGTTTTCTGAGAAACAGAGATGGTTAGTGGATTAGTCCTCTAAAATGTGGCATTTAGTTGTTGTTTGAAGCAACCCATTTCCAAATGTTATGAAATTAATTTTGGCTGGAATTAAAATAGCTGCTTTTTTTTTTTTTTTTTTCCGCTGTGATTTTATTATGGATCAATGACCCCATGTCAGATTTAGAATTTAGGCCATTGACTCTCTCCCACTAAGCAGTAACAGGCTGGAGGTGAGAAGTTGGAGCATGCCAGCTTTTTTAGGCAATACTGCCTTGGACAGGACTGAGGCCTTGCACAATGGGGAGATATAACACTTGCACAATGGGGAGATAAGTCCAGTAGCTTATTTACATTTGAGTAACTTCTTAAAGGGGCAGAGGGGGAAGATGGTGTCTGCTTTCTGATTGCTCTCCAGCATTATTTCTACATCTTCTGCAAACAAAGTCCTCTTGCATTTCACATGTGGGGCTCTCAGGATGCTACTGTGGAGGCAGCGCTTTAGGCTGGCAGGCTCATTGTGCTCAAGGTGCCCATTTGGTTTTGCAGCCTCGTGTCAGGATCAATGAGGAGGAGGAGGAAGAGTGGGGAGTCTCCAGGGGGAGAGGGGCAAGGCGAGCAGCCCTACTTCATAGTCCTTGTCCTCCTGCTGGCATGGCTGCTCACAGGCTGTGGCTGTAAGGAGAGCCTTGTGAAGTCTGCAGAGGTTCAGCTTCCCACTGTCACCCATCTTGCGTGACACAATGAAGACGTTAGAACTGAGGAGAAGGAGACTGGCATGGGAGCTATACAGTGTTTGGTTTTAAATTACTTTTTTCCTAGACCTTTGGTCCTGTTTCATAACTATGATATAAAGCTACAGCCAGAGAACCGAGATGAAGTCAGCAAAATACTGTTTTTGTTAATCTTGTTAGTTTGTCAGTGTTCAGACCAGACTTTAATACCACCTTCAAGAAGCTTTCTTCCTGCTTCTGCTGATTTGTGACGAGTACAGAAGGATTACTTCTCACTCCTCCAAAGGTAGCCTGGACTATGGTTCGTGTACAACTACCTCTTCTTGCCTTGACTTCACTCCAATTCCATGTGCATTTATAGATCTGGGGACACTCTTCTGTCCCCGTGTCACAGTGTGACTGAGACCTATTTCCACAGGAGGATCCAGTGATCTGGTGGAGGAGCTGCTTTTGCAGCTATCCTGACCCATTTGCCCTGACCTAAAAAGCATTAAAGCTAAAAAGCCTTGTTTGGAAGACCGTCATGCCAAGCAACAGGCTCCTTCCTTGCTCAGGCAGGTTCTCCTGTTGAAGGCAGCTGGGTGGAGCATTAGCAAACTTGCAGGTTACTGTCATTTGTCTTATGAGGTGACCTAAATCAACTGAGTGATCTACCTGTCTGGGACAAACACCCACACAGTTCCTTCCTCCTGCAGCATCTTCAGATGCCCTCATTCCAGCACAGTTTACAAATATTCTCCAAAGATTGCTTTATTCATCCCACGCACTAACCAGCATTTTTATGTATTCTTGTGGATCACTTGTTAAATTGGTTGACTTGGGGTGAGGAGGGCATTTGGAAATTAGACAGCATCCAGAGGTATTTAAAGATGAAGTCTGGGGATGTAAAGGAGAATTGTGGGAATATATTGTAGGTGTTCCTAAATGGGAGCTCAGCTGTGATCCCTTCTGCTGTATCCTTGCTCTGACGTGATTAGCTCAGGACTTTTCTGCTGTACCACCTGAGTTTTGACCTCTGTATCTAGCTGCAGAGGTGAGTATGGATTTAAAGGATGTGACAGCGTGGATGCAGGGACGTGTCTGCCAACCGTCAGGTTATCTGGGCCCAAGTCAGAGGCCAGAAAACGGGGCAGGACTGAAGCCAACTCCCACCCTTAGTTCATTTTTGATCATGTCAGTGACTTTTGAGAAGGAAGCAGATGTGGGTTTGCATGTCTCCAAGGCTAAGGGGAAAAACCTGTTTCATTTACTGCCCTTTACTGTGGAGAAATCTCCCCTGCTCGTTCCAAGCAATCTCTTACTTTTTTCGCTTTTTAGCCTATGTGATGGAAGAAATAATGGACGCTCTT